CATCCCTCTTGCAAACACTACATCAGGTGTTCTTGTTTTGTTTTTGGTGGGGGGAGAGGGATTGGGAATACAAGCACCTGAGAACCAGAGTACACAATGCACTTTTCTTTCCCTTAGGACCTAGGCTATAGGGCGGGTGTGAGGCGTGACTGCCAGGTGCATCAGCTGATATATCGGTGTGGCATCCTGACGTACGAGCACACCTTGGGTACCGTCCCGGTGGAAGCTGTTAGCTGGCCAGGTCGTGAAAAATCCTGCTTGAAAACGTCGAGAAAAAGGCGAGAGGGATGAGCCTAAAGGGTGCAAAAGAAAGGGGAGATAAAAGGTTAATCCTTGGGGAAGAGAACAGATGGTAATGTCCAAGTAACAAATGGGAGCGGACAAAAGTGAGGAAAGAAGGTGTTAGAGGGGAGGGGAGGGGACAATTGGGTGTATATGGGGACGAAAATAAGTCAGTGCGCGATAGGTGGAAAAGTTGTCCAGGGAAGGCAAGTGCCGAGGGGTAGCGGACGACCACTGAGGAGATCAATATATTCATGCGATGCTGTTATACTGTTATTAATGTTAGGATTCTATACTGTACCTATATATCCATGTGATGCTTTTATACTGTACCTATACTGTTATTCGTGTTTATATATTGAATCTAAATACATACACTATAAGTACCTATATCTATCCACATGGTGTTTTTATACTGTAATTATATGTCAATGTTGCCAAGAATTCACAATTTAGGGCGGCCGACACATTTATGTATTCTAGGTAATTCCTCGACCTTTACGTTATAAAAAATAATTCACATAAAGAACAAATGTAACCTTTATTTCCTCAAAATAATATCCTCTTTTCCCTAAATTTTTAGTTATACATAAGAGGATCTTTTGGAGATATTAGGAACAGCTAAAAATAGAAGGAGAGGGTGTGGGAGGGCTCATCCAACCCCACCACAGCCGTGAGGGGACGGTGGTGGTTGTGTGTGGTGGCAGTGGTTAGTAGTAGTGTATGGTATGTATGGTAGTGGTGAAGATGGTAGTGGTGGTGGACTAGCGGCGCTGGTGAGAGTGAGGTGCGTGTTGGCTACTCTCTCCTCCGTCAGTCAACATATCCCAAAGACTTGTTACGGTCACGAACTCCCAGCACGCGTCACGCAACCCATCTAAGCACACATGAATCATCCGTGCATATCATGAATACAAACACATACCCATATATACTGAACTTCACCACATGAAAATACGTAACCCAAGATGGTGAATGAGCAGGAAGGCGAGGGAGGGTTATTGTGGACGGACGAGTCTGATAACTTTCACCTCACTCGGTCATTCATTCTTCTAATCCTATTACTATGGAAAAATTATGGAACATCCGAAATTTAGCCCCACAGCTAATTTTCACGAGAGAGAGAGAGAGAGAGAGAGAGAGAGAGAGAGAGAGAGAGAGAGAGAGAGAGTTAGCGTTAGGGTAGTTAATCTTTGTATAAAATAAGCTGGGTGCTCCAAAACTATGCACTGTCTTGAACAAAAGGCCACAACTAAACAAAGCACAGAAATACAATGTCACAGTCCAAGTGTAAGCCAAGACCTTCAAAGGTGGGGAGAGACAAGAGGTAAACAACAAGTGATGAATCCGACTCCTCCTCCGTCATCATAATCCATCAGTATGTCACAATGTGTACTATGAGCGTCTCAATCGTCCATAATACTGTACTGGACTTGATTACATCAGCCTGAGTGCACAAAAAGAGGCGTGGCAGTTCCGCCCTTAATGATGGGCGTGGTTCATGGCAACAGGTGAAGCAGGAAGCTGCCTCAAAGGTTCCTGGGTCATCCTGCCACGCCTCACTACCCATCCACGCACAAACACACACACACGGCTACATATCCCCTCGTCGGGATAGAGAACATTAGATACAACTTCAAGTCACAAAAACAAGTATTAATAATAAAAAGTGAATATTCTAAAATAAGTAAACATTCCCAACATGAGGCCATCCGTTGTTAGTGTTGATATCCATTTAATTGCCTGTTCTTCAGCTAACAGTGGATGATGTGAATTTAATGTCCATAGATGGAGCCACACTCGACCCTGATCTGGTCTTTACCATCGCAAACATGCTGGTACCCATCCCTCCTTGGATCAAGAGGACCTTTCACTTCTGTGAGCTGAAGTAGTGCCTGATGTATATCTGGAGCTGGTTTCAGTGGTTACTTTGTACGACGCAGCTCAGCCTACGACCGTGCTTCCCTGTGTGACGACCTGATCATATACTGTTACCTGCAGTACATACCACACGCCAACATTTACACTACAGCCTGGCAAACCAAGTACAGTATGCCTTTACTAGTACAGCTCCTCTTTAAAACATCCACTTGTCTTCCCACAATGTGCCCTATACTTACTGGTAACAGTTTAAATGTTTAGGACCGGGGATGTTGATACGGTGGTGTCTAATTGTACAAGTACTTAATGACCCCTTACATTCTACGACGGTAGTTATCTTGTTTATTTGGTTAACATAACTCGTTCATGTAAAAGATGATTTTCGTGGGCATTTTAACGACTATACATTTTAATACCTTACAGGATTAGTACATAAAGAGGATATACACTTAGTACCTCTCGCACCTACGCTTCAGTGAGTGTCTCGTGGGGGCTTCCGGGCGCTCTTAGTAACTTTGATGTGTTCCAGAAGTATATGTTCTTTGTAGACGATCTAGGTCAGATCTACCAACACTGACAAATAAAATTGGTAATCAAATTACAGCCAATGCAGTAAAGGTAATTTAATAGTGCCATGCCTGGCTAAGCATCATAGGAGAACCACTGCCAGGTACTGTACTGTAAAATCTTATCCCTAACTACAATGAGATCTGACTGTGTCGTGCTCTTCCCGCAGTTCAATATCACATTAGTTTTACTATGTTAAAAATGTATTTGAAACTAGAATATACATTCACGTATTAAGTGTTTTCACTTTAAAACACAATCAAGTTAATGTTTACAAATAAAGACCTGACACATCATGCTGCCATCAAGCGTCAAGGTGAAAATTAGGAAGTGCAGAGGAAGAACAGGAGCTGCCGAGGAATTGAAGTTCTTAATAGCAGGGGCGCTCGAATTACTCATTGACTTGTTCTACTGACTCTGAACGTCGGGAAATTGAAGACTCGTTCCAATATTACACCACCATTTCGTTTTCCAAGTATAGTCTTCTCTGTAATTCCACATCAAGCAATGAAAACTTGACTGAGATCCGTGCACACTATATCTTCAGGTATCTTAGTATGTCGGTAACTTTTTTTATTCTTAACTTTCGAAAGCGGTAAAGGACATTTTCTGAGCCCCAGCTGATACTTCGATCCTAAGCCGGGACACAACACCACCGTCCTGAGATTTTATTACGGGATGCTTCACTGGCCGATCTGTGTGGATATTCTTCCGTCTCCTTCCACCCCCTAACATTCTTTCTTTTCCCCTCGGACTCTGCCACTCACTCCATACTCACTTATGCTCTCTCTCCCCCCCTCCGTACCCCTCACTCTCCACACCCACTCCCTCAACTGAACCTGGTCATTCACCTGGACCTCTCTCACCTCCACTACACCCCCCCCCCAACACACACAAACAGAAACTCACACGCCCACCCAGGATCTACGCTGACTCGTCCAAATCACAACAAAGACATTGGTTAATCACAAACTTAACAAAACACATACACAGGTAAACCCGCACCCTCTAGATAAAATACCAATAATAGTAACATGGACATTGCCTGACAGACACTAAAAAGAAAAAATGGCAAAAACAACCACATACTATAAGCCACACTGTACACAAGACCATAATAACCATTCCTAACCCGCGAATGTTAGTTTTGTTAGCGTGGCTTTAACTAATAACTGCACACGTCCATCATCAGACGGAATGGATTCTTTAGTGTACAAAGATGTGGTTTACCGCCGTCTGGCTCCCAGATACTGTACTCAAGTTGGTGACAATAAACGTCAAAGTTTTAGTGTGTGTGTGTGTGTGTGTGTAATAATAATAGTAATGATAATTAACGGTTTATTAAAAAAAGTTCTGCAGCCCGAAGGCTGAAAATATACATTGGATATAAATGACTTATTACATACATTGGTGGTTTAACAAAAGCCTTCATTAGAGAAAGGTAAAGGAACATACAGTGAGCATACAGATTAATGTAGGTGTTGAACAGCAAACATGTAGTGTAGTAACTCCCTCCCAGATGGTGTTAGGAGGGACCTCACGTGGTGTAGTAGTTCCCTCAGATGGTGTTATGAAGGACCTGACGTGGTGTAGTAATTCCCTCACAGATGGTGTTATATGAGTGAGGTGTGGTCCCAATCCTTCCTATCGTAGACGGATTAACACATCGCTGGTTGTTGTTGGGTCTCATGGGCCGTTATCACTGGGTACCTGGGACCTCACTGTGTGAAGGTTAAGTTGGGTACGACTGTTACTGTTGAGTTGTTCTCACTGACTTACGCACTGTTCACCACTGTTCACCTCTGTTTAACACTGGTTCCATTCCTTTCCTAAATGAAATTGCAACTTCTGGCGAGAACTTGTTGATATTCCGGTGGGGAGGAGGGTTCAGGGGAGGGAGTTGGTATGGGCCAACTTAACGTCTTGACCCTTCGGTGGTCAAGGATGTAGTGTGTGTGTGTGTACAATTATTTTTCATCTATTTCCTAACAACCTTGCAATCAGTTCAATTGAAAAATAAATGTTTTGTGGCGGAAATGAAAAAAAAAACATTTAAGAATAAATTCAGTACATTTACTACCACTGTAATAGTTCTAGTGAACAATGGTGTTATTACAACTAACGGTAACAGTAACTGAGGCTTGATGACCGGAACAGTGGCGGTAAAAACGCCTCCACACTGCGCGAAACACGGGTAGAAATTTCCAACATAAAAGTCTCCTCCAGCACCGCCCCAGCGGGTCAACACGCTACCTAGGAGAGGTTTAACCATGAAAGTTCTCAAGAGCGACGCTAACCAGGTGAACGCTCTACAGAGTCTACAGTCTACACCAATGACTACGGGGTATGCTGAGTTGACTCCTTCCTTCCCACTGGTTTGTTTGTTACGGGAGCCTCTCTCACACAGGGAAGTAAGAGGGCTGAGTAGCAGCTTGTTGAGTTATCCGGCCAAGAGAAGAGGGAGTGACATTATCCAGGAGTATGCAGGGAGTGTACCAATATCGGTGGCGTGCAGGGAGCGAGGGAGGGAGAGGGTGTATAACGATGAGACCCAGGGCGCTGAACCTGTCGTCCCGAGCAGTTGCCAGGCAGGGATTTCTCAGCCACCGCTAGCTCACACCCACATCGCTTCACACTGGCATCATCATCCCATTACAACAACAACACCTTATCAAAACGCCACACGTTAGCACATGCGTATCTAATAACAACTGTAAAAAGGAGGAAAAATAAGAGGACAAGATGTAGAATGAAAAAAAATCAACAGCTGTAAAAAGAAACCAGTAATTCACTAAACTCCATGCCTGCTCACCATAAAAGAACAAAAATGTCTCTCTGTTACAAGCAGGTGAGAGATGAGAACAGACCCAGGCCAAGGACAACTGACTTGTCAATACCACGGCCAAAACACAAGGCGGAGGATGACAATTGATGAATTTCGACACACGGTAGCAACATGTTGACCTCTGACACACGGGCGTCACTCAGCCACCTATCACACCTGCGAACAATTTCGAGAGTTCTGGAGCTGTGGCTGCCTGTGCCTCCATTCCTGGCACAGCTTAGGCTTCAACAATCACTAAATATTTACATATCTGAATTCTTCATACAGCTTAGAATCAACAGGTAAACTGAATCTATTTCCCGATTCAATTTTGACTATCTCTGACACATCTTTCCTGGTCCATAAGGGTGGCCAAGTGAAAATCTTCTAGTAGCTACATATTTCGTGCTGCAGGAACACTAGGCACGATGGTGGCGGTCAGGTGCACACAACCCACTTTGCTATTGTGTTGGGAGGCAAGCCACAACCCGAGGAGACGCGGGTACTGACTACCGTGACTGTGACGAAGTGTGCAGTGAGATAAAGCATCCTCTCTCGCTCTCTCTCTGTCCAGGTGGTCACCCCGCCCCAAGGGTCAGGTCGGAAAAACAAGTCCTGGAAGGTGGAGTCAACGCTCTATCCCATCTAACTTATCTGATGTGAAACAAGAAGGATAAATAATCTTCAATTACCAATATCTTCTATTGTGTGTGAAGAACAAGGCTATCTGAGGGCTGCAGAAAAAAGGGGCTGGGTCACAAGTGTCCACCGGAGAGGTGGACATGAAACAGTGACAAAGATATTGAGGGGGGAATAAAATAAAGGTAGAGAGAGAGAGAGTAAGGAAAAGGTGGAGAAGAAGTCTTGGTTACAGAGTTAATAAACTCTGTAACCAAAACATCTATACAGTACAGCAATTTCAGATTCCCTCTAGCATACATCAGAGTAACAAGCGCGAAAAATAGTGTTTACCTGTAACATTACGGAACAACAGACATTTAACTGATTTATGTAGTCGTCGTGTGTGTAGAAGAGCATCAAATATTTTGTCAATATCATTAATACAGTATTAAACTGACAAATAATTTAAACACAAGTTTTAATGGTACCTCATGACTACTGTTGCTTTGCATTTCATTACCTGGTACAGGTCTTCATCCTGGACACACTATAACTCTTTTGTACAAGATACCAAGAACTGGTCACTGATTGCGTTGAGCATCATTTGACAATTTTTATCAACCAGCCAAAAAGTTTCTCTGACATAATATTTGTTGGTCTTATTCACAGTATCTCCCAAACACCATTTCTACTAATCAACAGTTACACAACAAGCCTGTCACTAATTCTTCCTCAAAACTTGTTAAATAATTGTCCAGAAAATAGTTAAATAATTGTCCAGAAAATAGTATTCATTGCGAGAGTGTAGGCTACCAACCTACTGTTAGAAAACGGATGTCGCTTGTGTGTGTGGTCTTGTCACGCTCAAGTGCTTCTTTATCCACGTACTCCGGGAACAACTTGTATCATCCATCTTTATTTCTATGATTCATCTCCAGGTGCTTCCCATGCCAATTTCCTGATAACCATTAGTATATACTGTAGTAAATTATCTTTCACTTGTATATGAATGCCACACCGATTCATTCTAATCATCGTGTTGAACCGTTAGTCAGCCCATGTAGGTTTTTTTACTTTTTATATAGTTCTGTGTGAGTCATCGTCTCATTAGATCTATTCCATACGCTTGTTACGTTGTTATCTTTGCTAAAGTGTCCACGCTGGCCTCATCCACACGCTATCTACATTCTACACCCGTCCTAAAATCAAGTGTGTGTGTCCTGCTTGACTCCCACTCACCACTACCCATTAAAACACTGCACTACTCTCAGCAACAACCGCTAGGAGGCGCCACCTAGCCAGCCTCAGGTGTTTGTCACTTGCCCACTTACCACGACGAAAAGTTTTACTCTCAGAAATTTATTTACCGGAATGTATCACGCGAGTCCAACTTTTAATACTCGCAGAAAGTCAAGTGAGAGAAGAAAGGTAATTCACAACAAAAGGCGAGCTCTGAGGAAAAGAAATAATGAAACTCGGCAGAGAAAATAGTAAAACACAAACAAAAACAAGATACGAAAAGATAACTATTTGTCGAGGCGTAAAGAAAACTAAGCTGAGCATTATACTCTTACCACCTGAAGAAATCCCGAGGAGAAAACAACTTTTTTTTTACACAAGAAAGCGAAAAACGATACAATGAAACACAAGATAAACTGTCAAAAGCGCGATAAAAGACAAATTAAAAAGCCATAATGTAAATCAAAACAGTAAGAACAAACGCATAAGCGAACACTATAAAACATGTAATCAAAACTGACGACACACGGAAAAAAACACAAAAGCTACATCACAGGAAACTAGTCTGTAAAAACAAAAGCAAACACCAACCAAAACAGACTACAGAAATTATTAAAACATATAAACAAACACAAAGACGAATGAGCCTGCAGAAACAAACAATTACCAGGACAACAAAACAAAAGCTAGCCGGTAACAAACACCAAGACAACAACAAAACAAAAGCTAGCCGGTAACCAAACACCAAGACAACAACAACAACAAAATGGAAAACAGCGAGAAACAATAAATAACATAACACCAAAAGTAACTAAACAAAAAGCAATATTAAACCATGACCAATAACGAGGCAGATAATTAAAACTGGACAAGTGAATAAATAATTAACAAAAGGAAGATGTAAACATTCACCCGACGAAAGTATGGAGAGAGAGAGAGAGAGAGAGAGAGAGAGAGCCTGTAACGTCAGACATCCTCACATGTATTCGCCATTCGACTAATTTTTTTCTAACTAATATAAAAAAAAAATACATTCATTTGCACAATCGGGTTTTATCATTCTTTTAAAATTGTTCCAACATGGATGGAAAAAAATCTTTCGTGGTTTCCGTATGACTGAGGGTCAACCGATATATAACAAAAACAGATAGATAGACAGATAGATAGGAGACAGTTTCAGAACCAGTGAAACAGCACATTTACCAAACAAAAACACTCATTTATTGTCCAACACAATAAAACAACAAATTCAATACCAAAACATTGATAGTGTGCCACACACACACACACACACACACACACACACACACACACACACACACACCAATGATCCTATCGTCCTCGTCAGTGTACCAAGAGAGAGGACTAATACACACTACAAAATTGTTGAAGGTGATAATGGAACATTGGTCAAAACTGTTGTAAAATCGTGGGGAAATTCCTATTATTATTATTATAATTACTGTTACTATTTATTTCATTCGGTAACAACACCTATCACTGTCAATATTCACACGCCAATCAGGAGTCGTAACTGTGGCCATTACCGACGGAATAAGGTGAGAATCACACTGGGTCGAGGTACAATATATACTAATGACATGAATCTCTATAGATTCCAAATTTCTCTTCGATCCTTCCTTACAGTCTGAAGTACCTGCTCGAAAACCTGATTTGCCTGTGCCAGAAATTACATACCTATCAGAAGAGAGGGGGGGGGGCCGCAACAACTCAGGGGACCATGGGTGGAAAATGGTGATTATCGAATCCTTTATGGCAATCTGTCATGTAAATCCATAACAACAAAAAACGATCAGTCCGTTCCTTCCTTCCTCAGCTGTTGACAGGAAACTATGAGTGGTGGGGACAAACAGACTGAGATGGGTGGAACTACTGTACACGACCCTTCCATATACTGTATATGGCGGGGACTTAATGGCAAAACAGAGGGGGAACAGAAAAGAGGCAAGACAGATAACATTGATAACACACGAGAGAGAAAGGGAGAGAGATAGATGGGAAGGAGTATGAGGAAACGTAAGGAGGTTGGAGGTATCAAGATTTTAGCAGGGGGGAGGGTTGGTAGTATCGATCACAGCGGCCCACTGCCAGTGTGTGTCGAGGTGTGCACGGGGTCTCACTACCCCTAAGGGAGGACCACGTTCTCCCTCCCTCTCCCTCTCTCTCTTTCCCCTCCCTCCCTCTCTCTTTCCTTCCCCGCCGCACTCTCCCCCCCCACACTCACCCTTTCCCTCCCTCCCCTCCTCACTTACTCTTCCCTTCCCTCCCACTGTCTCTCGTTCTCGTTCTCTCTACCTCTCTCAAAACACACACACACACACACACACACACACACACACACACACACACACACTTATAATCATAAGCAGCAATCTTTTTCGCAACACAACCAAATCCTGACATACAACATCAAGCGGCTCTCTTAACAATTTCAACATTACATAAGTCCACCATGGCCTGCCAACAACCCAGGCCCTACAAGAGAGTCCCAACATCAGAATCGTGACATTTTCCAACATCCAGATCGCATAACATTGCAACGTCAGGATCTGGCATTTTTAACAGACCCCCATGCACTACCAATACCATAGGATCCCGGACACCCAGTCTGATCTGCTCCGGTCATGAGTTGGACAGGT